TGTGTGTGTGTGTGTGTGTGTGTGTGTGTGTGTGTGTGTGTGTGTGTGTGTGTGTGTGTGTGTGTGTGTGTGTGTGTGGTAACACTAGCCAGTGAGACCAAACCTCACTCACACCTGTCTGTTTCCCCTGAGAAGCAAGTTAAACATTGACTTGGCAGCGGTGTGTGTTCACTTGTGTGTGTTCACTTGTGTGTGTTCGTGTGTGTGTGTGTGTTCACGTGTGTGTGTGTTCACGTGTGTGTGTGAGAATGTAGTGTTTGTTGTAGTAACATCACAGCTGGCCTGTGATATTTATCTGAGTACATGTGATGAAATATGAAAAGAGTTACAACTCAGAGGCTGATTCTCATCGACTTTGATCCCTTTGATATGAATCCTGCAGTGATAAATATAACGCAGTAATAAAACTATAATAACACAGTAATAATACAATATGAACAAACATTTAAAAAGTATTTATCACTGAGGAGAAAACTAGAGGAAAAACTTTGCTTCAGGAACCAAAGAAAATGAGTGACACATGAACAGAGTCTGAATTAATCAGAGTTTGAGTTCATGTTCACGTGAACGTGAACATGAACGTGAACATGAACGTGAACATGAACGTGAACGTGAACGTGAACGTGAACGTGAACTACAGTCAGTGGTTACTCTTCAGACAAGACGCAGATCGTCCTTCATTCGTCTCACCGTGGAGGAATGTGTAACAGAGAGAGGAGAGATAAACATTAAGAAAGACTCACAGTGTAAACAGAATATATAAAGTACACACACTCACACACACACACACACACACTCACACACTCACACACTCACACACTCACACACACACACACACTCACACACACTCACACACACACACTCACGCTCTGAATCCCCTGAGATGTTGGACGTGTGTGTTGGTGTGTGTTGACGTTCAGCGTCAGTCTGAGCTCAGGTTCGTCGGTTCACACGTTCAGAGGCTGAGTCTCACAAACCGTCTCCATGGCGACCGCGGTGTTTCCACAGGAGATGAGTTTGTGAGTCGTCCTTCAGCGGCCGGCGGTATCTGGAAGGTGTGAGGCTCCAGGAGACAGGGGCAGCTTGTTCTCGCTTTCTCTGCCGCACGCTCACTTCCTGTCTCACCCCTCCCTCACACACACACTCCCTCCCTCTCTCCCTCCCTCACACACACACACACACTCCCTCCCTCCCTCACACACACACACACACACACACACACACACACACACACACTGGTTTTATAGGCTCACACACACTGGAGGTGATTGTTTCAACACTGAGGTTTTTGTCGTCGCTGGTTTTCTACCTGACAGACAGGAAATCCAGTCTGCACTCCGCTCTGCACCTGGACTCCTGCTCTCCTCCTCCACTCCTCCCTTCATTCCCCTCCTCCCTCTGTCCTCCCTCTCGTTTCACTCTCTCCGTCCAGACTCTAATTGCTTTCTCTGCTCACCTCTCTATATTTTCTTTCTTTTCTTTTTTTCCCTCTCGTACTTCTACTTCTAACTTCACTCTCCCCTCCTTTCTTTCATCCCTCCTTTCTTTCATATTTCCCGTCATCTTCTCTTTGATTCATCCGTCAAACACATTCCTCCATGTTTTGCTCCATTTCTTCTTTTTTCTTCGCTTCCTTTATTCCTTCCCTCCACCTCTGTGATTGTCTATCCTTCCATCTCTCCTTCTTTTCCATCCTCGTTTTCCAAACATACAATCCTTTCTTTCTCTCTCACTGTACTTTCTTCTTCCATTCCTCTTATTTCCTCCTTCATTCCTTCCATCCTCTTCTCTTTCCTTTCCACATCTCTTTCTCCCCCCACAGTTTGATGTTTATGTTTGACCTCAGTGGGCGTCTGCAGGTGATTTGGTTTAATTCCACTTGTTATTGAGCCTGTGGGAGATTTTCATCTTCAACAGTCAGAACATTTTTCAGCGTGTCAGCTGTTTGTGGAGCTCGAGCTGCAGTCGTGTGGTTCAACGGAGGATAGGACAGACGTTATTTTCTGCTTTGCTTGGACTCTTTCCCTTCGCCGCTCTTTCTCCTCCTCCTCCTCCTCCTCCT